TGGCTGGAAGAGCATAACATCGGGGTTGCGCCCCACCACCCTGGGCTCCATCTCTAAGACGGCCTGCAGCTGGCTGGCCTCCACCTCTAGCGGCCTGAGCTCCACCACTAAATCCTCTACCTCTAGCACCTCTACCCCCACCCCTAATTGACTGGGCGGTCTGTGGAACACTTGGTGCCTAGACGATAGTACGGGAACCCTGCTGCTGCGACTGAGTACCCACCAACCTCGGACAAGTCCTCCTGATATGACCATACTCACCACACTCAAAACATTCACCTAAGTGTTGTGGCTGAGGAAACTGAGACTGACCCTGGCGACCCGAATGACCACCCCCAAAACTCTAGAGCGGTGGTGCACTGTAGGACTACTGATCAGAATACCGCATCTGCGGACCACGACTACCTGAAGTGCCGTGAGAGATCTGAAGAGCTGACTGAAAGGGCCTAGGGGGATGGCCTCTACTATATGAATCCCTGCCTCCAGATGAGGCACCACTGAATCAACCTGAATGACGGGGCCTCTTATCCGACCCATGACCACCTCCCTGCGACAGGACCATCTCTACTCTACGGGCCACATTGGCCGCCTCCTAAAAAGTGATCTCACTCCTAGCCCCCCTAGCCATCTGAAGGCGAATTGGCTGAATAAGACCATCAATAAACTTCCTCACCCTCTCTATCTTGGTAGGAAGCATGATAGGAGCATGGCGAGCTAAGTCGATGAACTTGGTCTCATACTGGGTAACTGTCATGGAACCCTGCTGGAGGAGCTCAAACTGCCTCCGATAAGCCTCTCGCTGAGTAATGGGGAGAAAACTTCTCCAGAAATAGCTGTGTGAACTGCTCCCAAGTCAAGGCTGGCGATCCGGCTGGTCTAGCTAAGCAATAATCCCTCCTCCAAGTCTTGGCGGATCTAGACAAGCGAAATGTAGCAAAATCGACCCCATTGGTTTCAACAATACCCATGTTCCTAAGAACTTCGTGGCAGTTGTCTAGATAATCCTGGGGATCCTCAGTAGATGCACCGCTGAAAGTGGAAGTGAAGAGCTTGGTGAACCTATCCAACCTCCACAAAGCATCGGCAGACATAGTCGCTCCATCACCGGTCTAAGCTACCATACCCGGCTGAACTGCTCCAACTGGATGAACCGCTGGAGTCTGAATCTGAGGAACTACCTGCTTCGGAGTGCGAGTAGCAGGAGTTTGGGCCCCTCCTCCAGCCTGAGAGACGGCTGGTGCTACAGGAAGCAAGCCCGCTCGGGTGACACTCTCCATGAGGCCCACTAGTCGGACAAGAGCATCCTGAAGGACTAGGGTAGCAATAAACCCCTCTGGGATCTGAGCTGGGCCCACCGGAGCTGCTAGAGCCGGAACCTCATCATCAAAGTCAACCTGAGGCTCTGCTACTGGGGTTGCTGCTCGGGGCTGAGCTCTACCCCTACCTCGGCCTCTGGCACGGCCTCGGCCTCGCCCTTACCCTTTACCCCTCGTGGGAGCTACTGCTAGGGGCTTGGACTGCTGAGCGGTAGACGAGGAAGCGCGTGTTCTCGTCATCTGCGAAAGAACATAGTAGAAGTTCAATTAGCATTGAGAAACAAAACCGCACGACGAGAAAGAACAAATGTGAAGTTTTCCTAACTCTACAACCCGGTCTAATATAATATATGTTGCGGCGTGCAACCCGATCCAATATAATATCTGTTGCGGCGTGCAACCCGATCCAAAATAATATTTGTTGCAGCGTGCAACCCGATACACATATATAACTGTTGCGGCATGCAACCCGATCTAATATAATATCTAATGCGACGTGCAACCTGTTCCAAATATACAGTCAACAATAATCATAATTAACCGTCCCGAAAAGGGATCAACAATAGCCTACACTATCCCGGCAAAAGAACTCTACAGTACAAGTATATACGTCCCGGTAAGGGAGAAACAGCTATAACCAAACTTGTTCCAATACCTAACTATCTCAACTATAACTCAACTAGTTTCAACCTCTAACTACCTCAGCTATAACTACACTTGTTACAACACCTAACTACCCAGCTATAACCAAACTTGTTACAACACCTAACACGAAGAATCATCAACCTGAGCATCCGTAATATCAATTAAGAACACAATGTAAGGGAACCTCAACTCAACAATAGTCCGGCAAGGGGCAACATAATGATCTCTTCTCTTTCTCACTTTTTCTCCACAATTCACTTCACAACTCGAGCCAATGCTCTAGAGTTTCGATTATCACTTATACATTCACAATTCGTTATACAATTGGAGCCAACGCTCCTCAATGTTCATAGGTCACAATTCTTTCCACAACTTTACATTACAAATAGAAATCTTTACCAAAGCATAAATAATACAACGAGATCATGAAAATCACAATATAAGACTCACGGTCATGCTTGACACCAGCGCATAGATATTCGTCACCATATCTATACGTCGTACTCAACAAGGAACAAATAGCAAGTAGGACACAACTCCTAATCCCTCAAGCTAAGGTTAGACCAAACACTTACATCGATGTCTCGAACACAACTCAAGCTTCAATTATAGCTTTACCCCTTGAGTCCTCCGTCAATTCGCTCGTATCTAGCCACAAGTTACTTAATTACATCAATAACATTAAATGAATCAATTTGAATGCATGAAAAATGAGTTCTCCAAAGTTTTACCCAAACAGTCAAAATCGCCCCCGAGCCCACGTGGTTAAACTCGAGGTTCGAACCTAAACTCAATTACCCATTCCCACGAACTCAAATATATAATTTGTTTTGAAATCGGATCTCAAATCGAGGTCCAAATCCCCAATTTTTGAAAAATCTAAGTTCTACCCAAAACACCCAATTTCTCCCATGAAAATCATTGATTTGAAGTTGAAATCATGTTAAAAGATGTTAATGATTGAAGAAAACTAGTTAAAAATAACTTACAATTGATTTGGAAAGAAAGGTTATTTGAAAAATCGCCTCTTATGTTTTTGGGGTTTTGAAAAATGAAAAATGACTGAAAATCCCGTCTATTTATACCTCCCTCAGACCCCCTGTGGGGACCACACAAAGTCGACTGCGGCCGCACAACAGGGCCCTGTGCGAACAGCACAAAATCGACTGCGGTCGCACAGCAGCGCCCCTGTGCGGACCGCACAAAGGCAACCGCGACCACACAGCCTTCCCCGCGCTCCGCACAAGGTCGACTGCGGACCGCACTGGTGGGGTTTAGAGACCTGCAAATTTTTGGTTTTAAGCCTAAAACATCTCGAAACTTACCCGAAACTCACCCGAGCCCTCGGAATTCTAAACCAAGTGCACACAAAACCTCAAGAACATCCCACGGACTTATTCGTGTAATCAAATTATCAAAATAACATCATGAATATCAAATTAAATCTCAAGATCAATGAAATCTTCTCAAACTTCTTTAAACATCAACTTTACAATTTAAGTCCAAATCACGTCATATGACATCCGTTTTTCACCAAATTCCACATAAATGTCTTAAATCGTATATAAGACCTATACCGGGCGCCGGAACCAAAATACGGGTCTGATACCATCATGTTCTAATCAAATTTCATTTCAAATTTTTTTAAACAATTTCAGAAAATAATTTTCTTTGAAAATTCATTTCTCGGACTCGGGACCTCGGAATTCGATTCTGGGCATACGCCCAAGTCCCATATTTTCCTACGGACCCTCTAGGACCGTCAAATCACGGGTTCGGATCCGTTTACCCAAAACGTTGACCGAAGTCAAATTAGCTCATTCTATAATCAAAACTTATCATTTTTCATAGATTATCATATTTAAACTTTCCGGCTACGCGCCCGGACTACACACGCAAATCGAGGTGACTCTAAATGAGGTTTTCAAGGCCTCAGAACACGGAGTTTCATTTTAAAACAAGTGATGACCTGGTCATCACATACTTTTAAAAATGGGGGAGGCTTACTGGTTCTGTCTTTGGGGGAAGAAGGAATTTTTAATGAACAGGTATACCGCGGTATTAGAGAGCGTGATATATGACGCGGTATTACATCGCACTATATTTTAACGACAAAAATACCGTTAAAATATAGCGCAATATAATACCGCATTATATATAAAAAAAATATCTTTTTTTTTTAACAGTAAACATATTTTGAGTCCAAAACCACAACATTAAGATTTCGGACTCTGCACTTCAATGGGTACATAAAGTAAAATTTGCAAACGGCAAAGCCAGGGCAGCAGTTGCCACGTGTCAACCTGCCGGGTACGTGGTCCCACATAACAACTAATCACACAACACGTGTCAGAAAATGCGAACCTAGTCTCGCGTCCCCACGTCAATAGGACCCCTCAAAAACCAGAAAAAGGAGCAGACCTAAAGACAAACCTGAAAGGTAGTGAGTAGTAGTCGTAGCGAGTGGACCACCACGCGGCCGCCTTGAATAGTGATCTGGGGCCCATTCTCCTAGATGTGGGGCATGGAGCCCTGCCATCCAAATGACCTAAATATATGGCCCACAGCTACACTCTCTCCTCTTGGCCAGCATACCATACTAGCTTTGGCCCACCACTGCGATAGCTGGACCCCACGTTATGTTGTATATTGACTAGTAATTCATTGACCCACACCCTCTTGAGATGGGGACCACTTCTTTTCCGCGGGGCCCACTTTCCACGTGCACTAGACGAATGTCACGTGCAATTTTGATGTAATCTAAGCGCACGGGGCAAATGACCCCATGAAAAGCACTAAACTGTGGCACTGCTACAAAGGGATTATAAAGTGTTACACGGCAATACAGGCACAAAGAATGGTCCCACGCTTAGTAAAAAAAAGAAAGGATTTAAAATCAATCCAACCTAAACAAAACCATTTTGCTTTTGGCAATAGGATCACAAAAAAAAAAAAAAAAAAAAAAAAAAAAAAAAAAAAAGATAGCTAACNGGGAAAGAAAAAAAAAAAAAAAAAAAAAAAAAAAAAAACAACATAAAATTGAGTGCCCCAGCACTAAAAAGTATTTAGCAAGTTGACATCCAAAGTTAACCAACCTTTGTCATCAAAACAGAGCTTACTTCAAAAGGAGGAACCAAATTCTAAAAGCTCAAGGAGTTATCTACAAGCAAAATATTAAAGCTAAGACCTAACTAAAAACATAGAAATGCTAGATGCTTATCCGTCAGATTAGATAACAAAAGACATGGAAAATTAAAACAAAAAAGAAACTAAAAGAGTACTTTATGGGCCTAGAACCCTAACCGATTTTCTGCCCCAACTGAAAATGTATCAGGATTTGGAGGAAGAAGTTTGATCATTTTCACTAGAACCAGAACCAACCATAAACTGAAGCTCTCTTTTGTCATAAATCTCCAATGAAAAATCCCTAAGCATCTGTGTAGTAGTAGTACTTGTGGTTGTAGTAGTGGTAACACCAGTAGAACTGGAACTTGGAGCCATGGCTGAAACATTCCCATCACTTTTTGACGAACTCACTTGACCTTCAGCAGCAGCAGAGACCCCTGCATAGCTAATTCCAGATACATAATTTGAAATGGGCCTTCCTGGAATATTATATATTGGGGTGGCCCACAACTGAGGTGGATACGAAGGCCCAGCAGTAGCAATAGTAGTAGTACTAGTGGGTGGCGGCTGCACCATAAAGAAAGTCGTCCCACTGGTGGTGGGTACAAGCCCATTACCAGAGGCCACTGCCCAAACAGGAAGGAGACTTTGCGGGGCAATTGGAGCCACTGGTGCAAAATTAGACGGCTCATGCACGTCATAAAACTCGCTGTTCGCGGCCCTTTTCCTCCTCTTCGTCGCGTTTTCTCCTTCGCTATTTGTCGCCGGCGATGTCGTCGGTATTTTCAGCGTTCCGTTAACTGATACGGCAATCGCCGGAACCGTACCCGTTCCGGTAGCTTCAATAATAGCTGGCTCGGCGCGTTCTAGAAGCCAACGTATAGTCTCACCGTCGGATTTATGGCCTAGTTCCCGTGTTAATTGGAAGATTCTAGCAGCACACGCCGCCGGCATCCGGATTCTCCGACCACGGCCTTCAACTTTCGTGTGCCTGTCTTTTGAGGATCTTTTAGCAAGCGGTTTTTCTACCTTTTGCAGTTGCATATTTAGCCCAACTGACATAGTGCCTCCTCGCAAATCGTTTTCTGCCGGCTCTTCCTTTAACAAAGGCACAATATCTGTTGACGGCGGCGGAGAAGGGACGACACGTTCAGCGTCAGTTACATGCTGCCCTACTGCTGTAATGGTGTATTCTTCAGAATCGCCGAGTAATGGATCAGCGGATAATATCTTCGAGTCGTTAACCTCGTCATTTTCCGGTTCAATGTTTTGTTTGTTCTCCATATTGAAGAGAAAAGCCAAAAACAACTGAAATCCAAGAAAAAATGGGAAACAAAAGGATTAAACCCCAGAAAAACTATAGCCGAAATTAAATCCACAGAAAGTGTAAAATATGAAGAGAACAAAGGGTGTGCTTGTGAGTGACTAAAAATCAGAAAATGGGGAAGCGACTGAGAAGCAAAAAAATTCGTCGTTGGTTCTAATAGTTGACTGATAATTTTCTACAATGAAGAAGGAGCTTGAGAAAAAGAAAAAAAAAAAAGAAATAACAGTAAAAACGGATTCAGAGAAGATAACAGACCTTAGGGATGAAAAAGAGAGCCCCACTTGTTTACTGGGTTCCATACAAGGAGAAAGAGTAAGGGGCCCTCTTGCCAAACCCTATAAAGATCAGAGGGAAAAGAGTAATCCACGGCTAAGAATCTCAATGAAAAGATTGGGCCCCGAGATCTTGACACGTCACTGCACTTAGAAAACTAGAGTGGGGTCCATTCTTTGGGCCTTTGCTGTAAAATAACTGGATTTTGAATTGGGATATTCGCCATGACTTGTACTTGTTCTGCCTGGATAATAAATTGTCTCTAAATTATGTTGCTTAAAATTGGAACACGGTTTTTTTTTTTTTTATTTACAGAAAATGAATATTGCTGACATTTTTAATTATAGATATAATAGCATCGTTTTGATTTTGGGATTTTGGAGTTATGCACATGTATTGGTTCTGACTTGATATAGGTTGGCAAGCCATATTAAAATATGGAAACAGAACCCAGGCCATATCCAGTGCAACAATGAACATTTGGACAGACCTATTGCTGGCATTCTAATAACAAACAAAGTATAGAAGGAAGATAAAACAAAGAAGAGCAGGTAGTCGATTTCATAAAGTTTGTGAGAGGGCGTGTGATTTTTGTTCAAGAAAGCGAAAAGATTTGAGATTATAAAAAGTTTTTTTGGCACCAGTAAGAGGATATCAGTTTTTTAGTAGTCTTCATCATTCAACAATATATGCCTTTGAATAACAAGCAACCTCTGAAAACTTGAAGAATACACCATTTTATGCAAGTTTATGACCCCAACTTTTCCATCTTAAGAATTGTCCAAAGGCCATTCACTATCGACCTGCAATTCAATTGCATATTGGTTGAAGAATCTTTGCGGGGGGAAATGAATGGCAGAGAGATGTCGGTCTTACAAGCGAGCTGATTACTCCGATTAGCTTGCTGACCTAGCTAACTGCAGCTCTCACATTCTTGTACTTCCTCCTGATAACAAAGCATATCTGCAAGCATCACTCAAACTTTCTTGGATTGAATGTGGCCTCCTGTAAACAAACATATTGCTATAAGCCTTGTGGTTCATCAATAATGCTTTCTTGAAACAAACATAGTGGTGTAACCCCTGTAGTTCAAGTCAAGAGACATATCCATCATTCGAAGAAGAAAAATCACATTTTGGAAGTGTGAAAACCATATATCCTTCAGCAGTTCTAAGAGAAGCCGTCACTGTGGTTGGTGCCTCTGATTACACCCAAGCGAAAGCACAAGCTTGAAATGTTCTCAACAATTGTTTATGGGACTGTAGTATTAAGATCAATAACTTTCTCATCCACCCAAACCCCCGTTATCTTGAATCTTCAGTTCCATCATTCAAGAGCAAAAAAGCCTGGAGAACAAATAACCATGACAGCCCTGGACAGTATCAAGCAAAGGACTAGTCTGACATGCTTCTTGTACAGGACGGTTCATCCATTTCTTTGATAGTTCTTCTGCACTGGCAGCAAGCTGATGCTGCAATACAGCTGCACCTAGCGGTCCAACCAAATTGAGCCTTGTTGCAGCAGATACAACATCTCTCATTGTAGTAAACATGTAAGCCTTCTGAGAAGTTTCAGCATTTAATCCAAGAAGCCCACATACAAGTCCAAAAATGGGGGCATGGTGGAAACGGACAGCTCCGCTAGTCAAAGACATTTCTCGCATTGTTTTTAAAGACGGAACTTCCTGGAACACGGCGGCAGCTACCCTCAAAAGTGCTGATCCTTGTGAGATAGATGCTTTCCTACCAACTTCATTTGTTAGTGTTGCATCCAATATTTTGTCAATTTTATACCATGTTTCGACATTAGGAGATGCATTCAAAGTATAGATGAAAGGAAGCAATAGACTTCCTGTATTCTCCAGTATATGGGTCACAAATGTTCGAAGGTCTTCAGGCCCAGAGACTAACCGAGCTTGAATAGCAGCCTCAAGGCCAAAAGAATGAGCAAAACCACCCGTAGGAAGAACGGAATCAAGCAATTGCCATTGGCTCCACTGAAGTAGTGATCCATTTGGTGCAAATTGGAGAGTGTCATCAAATTTCTCTACCACATCCTCCATTTTTAAAGGCCTGAGCAATTTAGAAGTCATAAGCAGGAAAGAATAACCAAATAAAAAACAGGAGGAAACAGCACTCCATGTTGAACCAGTCAGAATGGTCCAAGAAAGATTATGTAAATTAAGTTCACTTTTTGATAACTCTAAACAAAAGAAATCTTGTGCAATCAAATAGAAAGAGGAACCTTGTGCAATTAGATACATTGCCAGAAGTAGGAATAGATTCCTGTCCAACGAAAACATACTGAGGATCTTAATATTCAGATCAGGTTCTTACTAACAATCTCATGTCCAGCAAGCGAAATTGAACATTTATATCCTAGACAGATTTCTTCCATACACAATCTTAGAATCTACAACACCAAGGTTTCACCCACTGGCTACCCAGAAGCAAACAATTGTTACTTTAACACGCAAGGTGCTCTATATCATTGAGACTACCAAGATAATATCTGCGCAATCACATTGGACCGAGGAGCTATCTTGAGGTTAATTAGGCATCAAACTTATTAAAGCAGCTATATGTTTTAACAACTTATGGGATTGCTATTCTTAGAACTATTTGATTATAGACCATCCTTTCGTTCTTACAAAGTAGTCTTTAATTCTCTAGTTAACAGCAAATTAGTTAAGTTTGAGTATAACGAAGTATGGAAGAAACATAAAGTACTCCATCGTCACCATAAACTATTCACAATTTCTGGACTGCAAATCACTTTCGTTTCCATTTGCTGGACCGCAAAATCTGAAAAGCTTAAAGATTAAAAAAAATCTTCATTTTAGTGCTTTATGATGGATCTTAATATTTTTATATAATAGTAGATATCCCTAAATTTCACATGTTTGAGCTGAAGTTTTTCATTTAAATTTTATTTGCTTTATAGTTAGGTGTTATTTAATTTGTTAACATCTATCTATTTCATACTAAACATTAACTCTTACTAATTCTGTAATCGAAAGAGGCGGAAGAGTAAATAGTTAATTTAGGTATTGATAAATGTTAACTTTTATTTAGTGACATCTAACTCTTATATGTTAAAATTGATTCTACACTTATTTTTAATCGAAAGAGGCGAATATTGTAGTAATCAGTTATAACAAGTAGGGTAATCGAAAGGGACTTACTAAAAAGAGCAAGTTTTAGTTTAAGCATATATTTCTGGCTCTTTAATATTACTATTCTGACGATTAATTTGTATAACCGAGAGGAATGCAATTAATTGTTCAACTTAAGTAATGATATATAAATGTAATCGTGAGAGGCATTTATACATTTGTGAGAAATAGAAATTGAAGGATAATTTTACCTATTATATAATAGAAATATTAAGTGAAGTTATGATCCCAACACCTTTTTATTATATTTGTGAAAAACAAAATATTTTCTATTGCTCTATTCATGCATTTTTAGTTAGTTAATTCACAACTCAACTCTTCCTGGTTTTCTCAAATAGTAATTAAAACAAGAAACGTCTGTAGAATAGATAAACCAATCTCTGTGGGTTCGACATCTTTCTATACTATAATTTGACAGAGTACGCGTTTAAATTTTATACACGCCAGACTCTCGTCAAATTTTTGGCGTTGTTACCGGGGATTGGCAACATCTACTTCAGATTAATTGTTTTGTTATTAATTTGAGAACTTACTATTATTATTAGTAGTAGTAGTAGTAGTAGTATTAGTATTATTGTTATCTTTGTTTTGTTTTTTTTGTTACTACTGTAATTATTGTTACTAGTAATGTCTTTCTAGAATCTCTTATTAACAATATTACTACTTACTGTTTTCGTATCATTTTTCTTTCTTCATCTTTTTAATTTTTATTTTTATTCTACGGTATCATCCTATTGTTTAGAGAGGCTAGAGGTTTGGAGACAAGCCCTTGAGTCTAAAGGCTTCAGGTTGAGCAGGACAAAGACGGAATACCTCGAGTGCAAATTTGGGGCCGAGCCGACGGAAGCGGGAGTGGAAGTGAGGCTTGACTCTCAAGTCATTCCTAAGAGGAGTAGTTTCAAGTACCTTGGGTCA